CTGACCGGATAGGTCGAACCCCGTCAGGGGGCGTGGCCCCTTAGACCCCTGACATATCTGCCAACAGTTACTTATAAGTTTGCCCCCAACCCACCCCCGAAAATTGTGGCCGATTCCGCCCTTGTCGTTAAATTGAAATAATTTGATACCCTGAACAAAATTAATCATATACGAATAATGGTTGATATACTATTTTAAAAGCTTTAGCACTGCCCTCACATGGCCTACTCCCGCCCACGCCTGTGGTTCACCGATAGGTGTGGGCAAGAGCAGGCTTCCTGCTGCTACAGTGAAACCAAGGAATTGTTCTCCTACTTTGTTTGGTAGTTCAGTAGAACTCTTTGTTTAAATCTTACCTCCAATAACATTCAAGCCGACCAGGCCAACTTCGTCGCCATTAAGGACACCCAAGCAAGCATTGCCTTGTCTCTGAAATGAATTGGAACGCATGAATAAGAATTAAAGCTCCCTACTGAGTAGAAATATGGACGCCAAGAGAATGATGACATGCTTACAGTGACGATGAAATAGTTCTCCGGGGGGATCTCCATTAGAGCCGGAGCTTTCCCATTTCCGAAGCTAAGAGTTAAGGGGCGAAAGTACTTCCTGAGATCAAGGACGGACTTGAAGGGCCTCGAGCCCTTCCAGCAATGAGGGAGCGCCTTATCTTCAGGTGCTTCTTTCAGAGGCGTCTTTGATTTGGAGATATCGATACTGACCTGGTAGCCATTGAAGCAATTTCCCATATCATTATTCTTCTCCGAAAATAATAATGCTATTGAAATCCTCAGACTAAAGGAGTCCGAAATTAATTTGGAAAGAAGTCGCCATTTCAAATTTAAAAATTATATAGCCTAAAATCAACATTTATGGATATAATTTCCCAAAAAAAAAAAACATCTATGGATTGTCAGAATGGATAGAATTGGCATAAAAAGTATAATTCTGATTATTCATGTAGATCTACATGAATAATCAGGTTGAATAATCAGGTTGGCGTTAAAAATACTAAAATAGCCTTTTCTCTCTAAATCTGAGCTATTAAGATCATAATTACTATAAAAAGAACTAATAATACATAAATTCAACTCAGGACATTATGTTTTCCAGCAGAAAAGTAACTTTTTTTTATTTTGCACTATTTCATATTTTCTAGATATTACTTCATATAAAAAATATTAATTATAATGTATTAATTACTATTGACTTAATAAAAGTAAAGAACTCAATAAAACAATTTCTTATTCCTAGAAGAAATAACATAATATTTTGGTTTCAGCTTTTTCAAACAGATTTAGGCTTCGGTCAAGATCGTTTTCTTATTGTTTTTTAAATATTTTTTTTAGTACAAATTTTTTTTAAAATA